AAGTAACTAAAATTTCAGCCAGCAATACATTAAACGCAGCTTGTCAACAATGTTGACTAGCATTGTTTAAAATGATAGTCATAAAAACAAGTATCATTTATACTTCCCTTGGCTTTTCCAAGTGACAGTGAGTGCCGGATACGGGTCGTAAACCACCGGACAGAATACCGTTAACATGGAAAGATTATCGTCGAAAGACGAGGCTTTAGTACAAATGAACAAAACTGATGGTATGAACATTTCATATCCCTCGGCAATAAATTTTAAGATCACATCCGAAATATCGTGTCTAGTATTTTTTATGCATATGATTCACCCTAGATTTTGAGTAAACCAAAATAACTCAGTATATGACTATTAGGGCATCTTTGCCAACATAATAACTACGTTGTTTTCATAGAAAATTTTGACGTAAACATACACGCCTTCTTTAAATGTCCCTGTATTTTTACGCTCATGCGCCTTGTGCGTATAAGTGTATTTATGTCATTCACTCATTATTCTACTGTTCCTGTCTCTTTGCCGCACTTCACGTTATCCGTTTCGGGCTATGTTAACTGTCGTTATAAATAGGATTGCTAGTTGGAAGATTATCTTTTCAGCTTCATTCTTCTTATTGTTAGCCTGAGGTAACAATGACGTGAAATACATATATCGGAAATTCATTTTCGTATTTTACATATTTTGTCCTGTTGCTCATTAACACGAATGAAGTGAATGACTATGTATGAGGGTAGGAAGCCTGTATATTTCGCTTAAATCATCATATCGTTCAACTTGAAGTCAGATCAATGAGACAATCGAAAACTGTCCAAGATGCTTTGTTCAATAGGAAGTTGAGGCGCAGTTCCCATCTCCCATTGGAAATCTGATTTTCTGGTCATGTTAACAATCACTTAGCTTAAGAGAATGACCTCAATGTCATCCATTCGTCACCCTATGGGCATTAATAATGTTGTTGCTACCTAAAGTCTCATGTTTACACCTAAATTATTATATACTGTACGGATGTTAACATTTCTAGTTCTTTTGTTCCCACCAGAACCAATCACCTCTGAAGCTGCAGCGAGATTCGAAAACCGCGACCAGATGAACTCAGAGATGGGCTCTGTTTTTTCCATCGAGTGGGTAGTGGCTGCAGCGTCCTGACCGAACAAGTGGTATCAGCTCCATAGGGGAAAACTTTCAAGGAGTAGCTGAATATTCAGTGAAGAACAAGCTGTAGAAATTAATATAGGCAAACTATTCTAACAACGAACATACTGTAGAGACAACCTTCCCATCAGTTCATAAAAATCTGCGCACACACACCCTGGGCAATGTGACCATTAAACAACTTTATATCTTTGATCTGCTAAACAAGCTTGATATAGGCAAATCCACGGGACCCGACGAAGATGCGTTCTAGGCTTTATTATTTTTTATCATTATTAGCCTTATTCCATATTATATTCTTGGTGCAATATAAAATTGTCAGCACAAAATATTTCAACAAGTTTTCTTTCCTTATTTCTTGTTCGTTCCTGATGATAAATAATATGTGATTTCCAATTACATGTTAGTAGTTCAGGAATCGACATCTTAATAATGTACAATCTTTTTGCTGCACGCTTCCAGCAACCACGATGTCTCTGACTGGACATTTTTGTAACATGTACAGTGAAAGATTGTAAAGTTTTCATAAACACATAAAAACAGGCTTGTTGAAATATCTAGATGATAGGGACAGGTGGCATAGATGTTCAAGCAGGTTACTAAGGGAACTAGCGAATTTCGTCAAGGACCCCTTAAGTCTACGTTTAAATCTATACATAACCCAGGGTCGTTTACCAAAAGACTATAAGAATGCTACAATAAGTTCTGTGTTCAAATCAGGTACGAAAAACAAACCTGAGAATTACCGACCCATTAGCCTAACTAGTGTGGTTGTTAAAAACTTAGAAAAGATCATTCGGAAGAAGCTGTTCACGTATCTCGATGAAAAACGGATTCCTTCGGAAAAGCAGCATGGCTTTATAGTAAGTTATTCCTGTCTCACTAACCTACTAGTGGCTCGTGAAAGCTGGTGCGCTCTGAAAGACCAAAAGTTGCTTGTAGACGTAGCCAACATCGACTTCAGCAAAGCTTTTGACAAAGTTCCTCACAGTCGGCTGTTAAACAAGCTAAGAAGTGTCGGGATTAGAGGCAATCTAATGATGTCGATAGAAGACTTCCTAGTTGTGCGCCAACAAGTAGTACAGGTGAACTACAAATTTGTCTAGCTGGAAAACTGTGCTTTTCGAAGTGCTTTAGGGTACGTTTTGGGACCAGTGTTATTCCTCTTGTATGCAGATAACCTTCTTCGTCTCCTATAATCAACGGTCTTCTTGTATGCTGACGATGTCATGATATGGAGAGCGATAAGAAAAGTATGGGTGATAATTTAGAGCTTCAAAATGACCTGAAGTAATAATCTCAGTTGTTCGAAATTTCGCACTTGTCAACAAATACATCCAAGTGTATTGCGATGTATATCGGTCATTGGCGTACAGATATATACACGATGAATGACAGTGAGTTGCCTGCCGTCCAGACACACAATGACGTAAATACTACTGTACACTGGCGTGCAATTGCTGCCAAAGGTTTTGGAACCCAGTGGTCAACACGTAGGATCTTTAGCCATGCTGATGATAAATCCCCTTTGTATATATTATTCGTGCGTCCTAAACTCCAGTACTGCATACAAGCGACTAGCCCATGTCTAAAAAGAGACAGAGAGCTTTTGGAAAAGGTTCAAAGAACTGCAACCAAGCTGATTTCCGGTATAGAAAAGCTCCTGATGAAATCTGCATCTGCAACTGCACAGGGCATCCAAAAGTGAACATGAGCGCTGACTTGGTGTTCCACAAACTGAAGCATCTAAGAATAGACGCTTCTCCTGGCCCAGATATAGTTCATTCTGCTATGTTGAAGGAAGCAGCCTCATTCCTGGCAACACCGCTTAGCGTGATGTTCTCACACTCGCTAATTTCCGGAAAATTGGAAGCTGGCTCACAGGTCACTGTAGGGAGCAATTTCCTACAGATTTAATTCTGAGTTATTCCCTAGACCGTCGAATAAAGAGTCTTGGTTTGGCCAAAGTCAGAACAAGCAAGCTATTTGGCTAGATAAACTTTATCTGTTTCTAGAACATAACTTAACATCGTTAGTGTACAAACAAACAGTACGGTCTATTAACACAGGGAAAAAACAGACAATAACATACCGAACAATAGCCAGAGAATAGGAAAAATTAGTCAACAAGCAAATATTGTTTTACAATGAACATCAAACTGTGGTTGGTTAATAAAGAGATACAGTAGCACAAGGTCAAAGGGAGTTAATATGGTGGTGGGCGTTTTCCTTTATTATTGGTGAGTTCGTCTATCGATCACATTTTACAGTCACCATTGAAAACCTGGAAGCACTGTCCCGCCTTTTTAAATCCTATTACGGGACTTATCAGTATTGTGCGCCCATGATTCCGCAAGTGGGACTCGAATCCAGAACGCTTAACATTTCGACCTCTGAGTCGGCATCCAACGGTATTAATGTCTTACCTCAATCATTCCAAAATCTTGCACAAACCTTCATTCATTACCTGCAGTGGTGTTATAACTTGTGGCCTGTGTGCCCTGTTAATGTATAACGTAACGATACCTCCAATTAGAGAGCAGTGAATTATCGATCGGACCAATGACGCGTAAAACCCATATGAGCAGTCTAGAGTACTTATCGGTCCTGCTTCCTGCCTAGCCCAGCCAGTTAAATCCAGAACACCAATCTCAGCCTCTGCAATATGAATCATTTATTTCAAGAATACTGGGTTTATATACCAACCAGACAGACCACACCGTACCATAAAATGGAAAAATAACATTTGTACAAGATTTAGCCAAATGTGGCTGTGAATGTGGTAGGTAGTAATTAATAGACAGGGCATAATTCAAGAATGATAAATCGTATAATAATAGCTCATAGGTCAAAATAAGGCTCATAATAAGAGGAACATGAATATGAATAGTTTAGTTATTTAACAATTATACGATAAAAATATACGCATAGTACTGGTCCATAAATGGATCCCAAAAATTACCATTCATTATTCTTATCGGGACATAACAAGTGGATAACTGCTTCACATTCGACATAGTCCAGTGAAATTCAACAATCTCTACAACCCTTTACCGACAAACTAATTTAGTGTTTTTAGCAGATTACAATGAAACGTTTCACTAATCTATCGAGACTACTTACAAGCAGTTTATATCCTCAATTGTTAAATTCCGTAGTTTATGTGTATGATATTACAGATAATTCTCATTCGAGACACCTGTGAAAACCAGAGAGCACTGAATAATTGTTTGTTTGTAGTATGGGAATCCTCAGGCCCCCAAATTCCCTGGTACGGCCGAGAGTGGGAAGAGTCCGCTCTCCCTCTCGAAATGCTCCCACATGGCCACGCGTATATAGCCTCTGCCAGGGAAGTCCTACTCACTGCCTTCTCGTGGCGGGGATGTTGTTTACGAAATTGAGAGAACGAAAAGCGGATGTCCGGCGCTTTAACCGGATTCCAAATCAATGGTGCACATGGGCTCCAGTATCCTGAAGGAACAAATGACATATGAACCATTTGTTGGTCACCGGCTTCCATGAACTGCATTTCCTTACGATGCTCCACTGCCTTGTGAATCAGACCTTCAGGTCGAAGGCTCGGGGTGTGGCCCCCTAAGAAAACCACCTGCTTCGGTTTGGGCACCCGGGCAGTATCACAGCCCTCACACATATCGAATTGAGATTTGTGTGGCGCATATATATTTGGTGCCTCTTTGTACCAATATCTATGTGTCGAAATAAATAAATATGGGAATCTCAGACGATGGTTTATATTATTCACTTTCATTGTTGATGAATAGACTAACTGAAATTTTTGAATGTTTTTATCGTGTATGTAGGATGCATTAGATGTCTGTCAATTAATGCAATCGACCGGTTTAGGTAGCGGTTTTATCACTGGTACACCAGCTAATGTAAGTCTTAGTGAAATGAATAATCTACTCAATACAACATTATCAAAACGAATTAATTCGTCATCAACTGGACCAGGCGCTGCTAAACGTCTGTTAGCTGCACTTGAGGTATGTCTTTCTTTGTTAATTTCAGTGTAATTTTGATCTTTTTATTCCCATGTGGATTATAATTCAGAGTGTTGAATGATACTAAAACTTAGAACCTAAATGTATATAATGAGTTTATGCATTTTGTACCACTGTGACTAGTTTCGAACCACCAACAGCTTCAAACATGTATCACAATTATCTCGTGGACCTCCGACTTGTAGTGTGAACCTACCAATCTAGTTTGAATTTTAAAACAGCGAAATCCTTGATATTCTTTTCCTAAATTATTAAATTCAATCATTATGTGATAATAAAAAAATTCCCTAATATTTCTATCTATTGAACCTGATTGATTTTCTTGGCGGTGTTTTGTGCTAGACCTTAAAAGTTATCGTTATAAGTTAAGCGATGGCTCAGTGGTTAAATGTTTTCGAACTTCTGTCACTAAATCGAATCCTGCTTCACCTACCTCCGTTCGGACAACCAAACTCTCTAATAACCTTAGGCTTCAAAACAGGCAGACCAATAAGTGCCTAGTCAGTTTGTTATTGTTATAAAATATCACTTCTTTTTTATGATAGCTGATAGAAATCTCTATGCGATGATCTTTCTCAGTCTCTTCAGAAAGTTTAAGTTGATTTAATTCTGTTCACCTCAAGTCAGTTACGACTGGATACTAAAAATAGTAGCGCTATACAGAAATTTACATATAGGCTGAGAAACTGCTCGAACACTCAAATCAATGCAGGCGGTTTTCTTAGGAGGCCATTCCCCAAGCCTTTGATCCACAGGTCTAGTTGACAAGGAAATGAATAGCTTCGGATGATTCTGTTTCGTTTTTGAGGACTAAGTAGGACTTTCTTGGAAGAGATTATAAACACATAGCAGTGTGAAAATATTTCAAGGAGGAAAACGGACTCTCTTTACTGTCGGACATATCACTGCACTTGAAGGGATTGTATAAAGACTAAGTTAATACAATGAGACATTAAACTAATGATTGCATACTTATCTCAAGACTTAAAAACCTTAGACTCTACTCTTTGTTTACCGAAAATGTATATTGATTCTCAAATTAGGTATGCGACATAGATTGATTTTCATCGGTTCTTCATTATTTTACAACCCTTCATAGATGACAACATATGAAAGTCATATGATTTTTTTCTTCTATCTTAATACGCAGCTATCCTATTCACTTATTTATTTATATTTAGATAACTTCAAAACGTACAAACAGTCGATTATTTACAATGCCAGAAATTAATACTATTGCTAATGATATTCATATTGCTTCAAATTGTATTATGACTTTATTAGATCGATTAAATGAATCCGGTGCAATACTTAAACGTGGCGCTAATCTATATAAACTTGTGTAGGACTCATATTTTCTGTGTTATAATCTCCTTGTTTACTTTTCTTACAGTGTTGACCTGAGTTGATTTCTTGATCTTTTTAGTACGATCGTTATTTATATTCCCTATTTTTTTTACTCGACAGAAACGCTGTTTTTTTGTTTGTTTCTTCTATCATAATAAAAACACAGTCGTTCCCCAGTTTTGCCATAAAGCAGTCTTCTAAAATTGGACCCAACGGGGAACCCATGGTGATCTCATCTCTTTGTCTATATATTTGATTGTTGAAACTAAACTGGACATTGAAGGTACAACGTAACAAAATTTCTTTAAAATTGGTGCAATTTTAGCCGACATCTTTATGGTAAAACTGGGAAACGACCAACCTAGTTCGATGAATAATCGATTTCATCTATACTTAAGATACATGGACGACACATTTGTCATTTATGACAATAATATTGAATTAGAAGATATCTTACACTCCTTCAACACATGCCACTCTTCCGTAGACCTCACGTTAGAAAGTGAGCGAGGCCAGTCAATCTGTTTTTTCGATTTGCGTCTGATGAGAAGGAGTAACGATTCCTTAAAAAAATCCATATTTAGAAAACAAACACGAAATGGCCAGCTGACCGACTTCTGTAGCTGGGTTTCTTTTAGCAGAAAAAGAAATCTTATTCGCTATCCATACTACCGTATATGTAGTATGGAGTGCATTGACGAAGAACTCGCATTCATCAGGAAAACTGATGAGAAATAACTATCCAGACCGCTTCGTAGATAAAAATATGAAAAGAAGTAGTTGTGACAAGGAATCCGGATTTTGCGTTCCAAAGAAAAACCTCTATATAATTTTGGAATTTAAAGGTGGTCGAGCATGTGATGTAATTAAAAATCGTTTAACGACAGCGATAAAAAGAAGATTCTATGCAGCAAAACTGCGAATAACGTTCACCAGTAGGAACTTGTTTTCTGTGTCCATAAAAGATAAGCTTCCCCGTCTGATCGCCTGTATATGTCTCTACTAGTTCACCTGCTCTTGTGGAGCAAGGTACAATGGCCGTCAGCGTAAAAGTAGGTCTTACCTGTGTTGAATCACCTGCATCTATTATTGATGCAGATTGTAAAAAGCAATGGACCCAGGACACTACTCTGCACAAAACCACTAGTTATTGGTCGAGGTGTAGATGTCGTAGAGTTAATTTTAGTTATTTTGTATATATTCGTGAGAAAAGACTTAATCCATTTCAATAGGGGGTTAGTAATTACAAATGACTGAAGTCTGATGCACTTGGTGTCAATATCTGGGGCATGACATTTGTTCCTATTGTGAGCAACCCACTCGCTCAGCAGTTCACATATGACAGTTTAGTCATAATACGTCACACTGTCGTACAGTATGGAGCGGATTTGTGGTCTGTACTCTTTCTTTTGCGCTTTTCTAGGAGACGACACAAGTTTTGAGACTTAGACGAGGTGGTGAGTGACAAAAAGAAGAGGAAATATTCCTGCACCATGAGGAGACAGTACTGCCTCGTCATTAGTGGAGGACGACTTGGTAAGGCCAAAGTATTCTCAAACTACTTTGGCAACGTATATACCATAGAAACACCCTTCCCGTCAGTTCATACAAATCCTCCCACACAAACACCGGTCAGCGCAACCATTAAACAACTGGATGTCTTTGGTCTGCTAAATAAGCTTGACATAAGGAAGTGCATTCTAGGCTACTAAAAGAATCATCTAACTTCGTTGCGAACGCTTTATTTATATGCTTTATCCTATCCGTAACCCAGGGTCGTTTACCAAAAGACTGGAAGAAAGCCATAGTTAGTACTGTCTTCAAAACAGGTACCAAAATTAAACCTGAGAATTACCGACCCGTTAGCCTAACTAGTGTGGTTGTCAAAATCTTAGGAAAGGTTATTCGGAAGGAGATGCTTAAGTATATTTGTTGGCGCACAACTAGGAAGTCTTCTATCGACATCATTAGAGTGCCTCTAATCCCGACACTTCTTAGCTTGTTTAACAGCCGACTGTGAGGAACTTTGTCAAAAGCTTTGCTGAAGTCGATGTTGGCTACGTCTACAAGCAACTTTTGGTCTTTCAGAGCGCACCAGCTTTCACGAGCCACTAGTAGGTTAGTGAGACAGGAGTAACTTACTATAAAGCCATGCTGCTTTTCCGAAGGAATCCGTTTTTCATCGAGATACGTGAACAGTTTGTTCTTAAATCGGTTCACTCATTTGTTCACTTCAACGGGTTGTATTCGCTGGTACATGGTATTTTTCCGAAGGCAGTGGTAAAACTCGATTGGTTCTGCAGTAGTTTTTATTAAGAGTAGTGTCATTGGTTAAATGCTGTACATTAGGCAGTTGAAAGTTCACTGATCTTGTCCTGGACATGTAAATTACTTGTATGATTAGCAGAATATTTCTCTTCTCCCTCGTATAGCATCCTGTGTTGAATGGGAGTATAATATCTTTTACAATCTTAGTTTCAAAGTTCTACGGACAATATTTCGAAAATTCGGATTGACAGAATGGTGGTTATAACCAGAGAGTACTTATGAACGAGGATGGACGGTCAGTCGTTTTGGAGCTTGAAATGGCCATTTAAGGCGATTAAGTCAGTTACTATTGATGATGAGAATCAACGGCTGACTTTTGGTGAATAAACTACCGTAGAGCTTCATGTTTTCGCCTGTCGAACTAACGACTTTGAAAGGAAAAAATTGGTTCGGAAGCCTAGCAACGTTGACTAATCGGCCGAATACCAAGTTCTTATAGAATGATAAGTGAACGGACTCCAATTTAATATGTAACAAGAGTGTCATTAGCTCTGTGAAGATCTAAATCATACGACCAATACAGATTTTCCGGCCTTCTGTCCATCCCAAGCTTTTGGACAGCAGGAATCGGTAGAAGTGTGAGACTTTGAGGTACTATAATCTAGTTCAATGACAGTACACCTATCTTAGCTATTAGAATAATAGACCTAATACCGAAATCGTAGTTTTTCCATGATGTGACTGTCTAATCCACAAGATCTGACGTGGGAATCTTACCGTAGTCTTCAGTAACTCACCCTATCATAACAACCAGCAATGTGATATTTAGTACTTCGGAAGAACACGTTTTGAGTGGGAGCAGAACAATGTACTTGGCATGAAGGGGAATAAGTTTCACGTAATGACTACGCTCACGTAGCCATGCCATTTCCATTGCTATGTTTCCGCGTTTACCATTTTTGAACTTCTTCAAGTGTTACATGTTGCATGTAAGTCTCAGTAATTATATGTTTTGCTCTAAAGGTTAGGAATCAACAGCACTACAATGTATTGCCCTGTGGATCCAGGAAACGCATTCAATATTGTACCTAACAAACAATGAGCGTGAGATATTTTTACTAGTTACTAACGCCAGGATTAGCAAACTTCTCCGTGTCAAAGTGAGAAACGGAATATTATATACTTGCTACCGAATCTCATACCAGAACAGAAGAATAAAGAATGGCAACGAAGTGAGAGTTGTCCAGAAGTAACTAAAATTTCAGCCAGCAATACATTAAACGCAGCTTGTCAACAATGTTGACTAGCATTGTTTAAAATGATAGTCATAAAAACAAGTATCATTTATACTTCCCTTGGCTTTTCCAAGTGACAGTGAGTGCCGGATACGGGTCGTAAACCACCGGACAGAATACCGTTAACATGGAAAGATTATCGTCGAAAGACGAGGCTTTAGTACAAATGAACAAAACTGATGGTATGAACATTTCATATCCCTCGGCAATAAATTTTAAGATCACATCCGAAATATCGTGTCTAGTATTTTTTATGCATATGATTCATCCTAGATTTTGAGTAAACCAAAATAACTCAGTATATGACTATTAGGGCATCTTTGCCAACATAATAACTACGTTGTTTTCATAGAAAATTTTGACGTAAACATACACGCCTTCTTTAAATGTCCCTGTATTTTTACGCTCATGCGCCTTGTGCGTATAAGTGTATTTATGTCATTCACTCATTATTCTACTGTTCCTGTCTCTTTGCCGCACTTCACGTTATCCGTTTCGGGCTATGTTAACTGTCGTTATAAATAGGATTGCTAGTTGGAAGATTATCTTTTCAGCTTCATTCTTCTTATTGTTAGCCTGAGGTAACAATGACGTGAAATACATATATCGGAAATTCATTTTCGTATTTTACATATTTTGTCCTGTTGCTCATTAACACGAATGAAGTGAATGACTATGTATGAGGGTAGGAAGCCTGTATATTTCGCTTAAATCATCATATCGTTCAACTTGAAGTCAGATCAATGAGACAATCGAAAACTGTCCAAGATGCTTTGTTCAATAGGAAGTTGAGGCGCAGTTCCCATCTCCCATTGGAAATCTGATTTTCTGGTCATGTTAACAATCACTTAGCTTAAGAGAATGACCTCAATGTCATCCATTCGTCACCCTATGGGCATTAATAATGTTGTTGCTACCTAAAGTCTCATGTTTACACCTAAATTATTATATACTGTACGGATGTTAACATTTCTAGTTCTTTTGTTCCCACCAGAACCAATCACCTCTGAAGCTGCAGCGAGATTCGAAAACCGCGACCAGATGAACTCAGAGATGGGCTCTGTTTTTTCCATCGAGTGGGTAGTGGCTGCAGCGTCCTGACCGAACAAGTGGTATCAGCTCCATAGGGGAAAACTTTCAAGGAGTAGCTGAATATTCAGTGAAGAACAAGCTGTAGAAATTAATATAGGCAAACTATTCTAACAACGAACATACTGTAGAGACAACCTTCCCATCAGTTCATAAAAATCTGCGCACACACACCCTGGGCAATGTGACCATTAAACAACTTTATATCTTTGATCTGCTAAACAAGCTTGATATAGGCAAATCCACGGGACCCGACGAAGATGCGTTCTAGGCTTTATTATTTTTTATCATTATTAGCCTTATTCCATATTATATTCTTGGTGCAATATAAAATTGTCAGCACAAAA